ATAATCACAACTTGTTACTTATAGTCACTATTTTGATTACTAAATTATATTGAGACTAGTTGGACTCTATTATGTAAATTTCAAAGTATATATTTTGATTTATCAAGTTAGTAAAATCTAAATTTAGGAACAAATTTCTTGATCGATCTGGGATTGAGCTACAGTATCGACAATTTGATTGAATAATAAGGAAGGTGTAAGAAATACTTTGATTCACAATGTTGTGTTAACTAGAATCATAATTTAGTGATTTACGTAAGTCAACATTGGAAGAGTTTTTTATTCAAAATATTTATAATTTTCTTAACAAATATATACATAATAAAGAAAATGATAATAATAAAGATAAAATATCAATAATAATAATCATGTTGAAGATAATATATTTATTCCTCGGTTCTTGGACGAAAATAAACCTCCAATTTATCGCATCTATTATCTAAATCATAAGATTTTGAGAATGACTTGTCATCAACTAACTCAATTTTATATTTTCTAAATATTAAAGTTACGAAAATTTTAACGTTGGTTAATGCGAGATGACGTCCAGGGCACATTCTAAGTCCACCACCAAATGGTAAATGACTATTTTCTTCAATATTTTCATTACCAAGGAATCTTTCAGGTATGAATGATTCTGGATCGCTCCAATGAGCCTTAATATTATGTATATAATAACTATGAATAAAAAATTCTTGCTGTGCTTTCCAGTTAAGACCAGCTACAGTATCTTCTTTATCTGATGCTTTAAAAATAAATGGGATAACCGGAACCAATCGTAAAGATTCTTTAAAACAAGCCTCGATATAATTTAATTTTATAATATCATCGTAGGTTACAGGTCGGTTCATGTCTTTACCAAGGACTCTATCAATTTCATCATGAACCTTGGATTGTGCGGCTGGATTTTTAGCAATGTTATATACGGTGAAACATATTCCAGAGCCAAGCTTATAATTGTAATAATTAATTTATAATAATTGGTAATAATTAATTATAATAATTGAATTAATTTTAAAATTTATAAATATTTACAATATTTTATACGTAGTTTTAATTATCTAAATGCTTACCGGATTAGTGCCACCAGTAATTGCTTCAATCGTAACTCGCATAATTTCTTCATCTGTCATAGGCCTTTCATATTCGTCACTTTCAATACCAAATTGGGTACCAAGATATGTGATAGAACAGATAAGAGAAGTTAAAATATCCGAACTTAATGTTTCTCCTTTTGGAGTATTCTCAATTTCTTTTCTTCTGACTTTTACAATATTAATAAAATATTCATTTAACCAATTTATATTATATAAATATTTAGAATTAAGAGAAGTAAATGGTGGTATATAATGCCTAAGGAATTTTGGAAAGAAATAAAAGAATACAATAGATTTTTGCCAAATTCGAATTCTATCCAACATTTCAATAGCTTGTTGTTGTTCGAATGTAATATTAGAATCGTTTTTTGTAAGATGATTATAATAAGTAAGCATATTTGCAGCAGGTTTTTTTGTAACTGTAGGAACGATAATATCATTTGTAAATTTATAAATCCAATCAGCTATATCAATCTTCATAACTTCATTTCCTCCTGATAACTTTATCCAGTATCCTTCTAATTCAACAAAAGTTTTTTCCATTATATGAACCAATTGTCGAAAGAGTGAAGGTACCATTAGACTTCGACCTAACATTGACCTATTAAATCTCCAAGAATTCATATGATTATTAAGACCCATTCCCATACCAGTCATTTTAATTTCGTCAATCCAAGGACCTATAGCACGATACGGGAAATTTGATTTTGGAGATGGATCGTTAAGTTTTTTAACTAACTTTGCATCACCCAACCAAATCATACGCTTAGGACCAAAATAAACTTCAAATAATGTTCCATATTTTGCTTGAAGTTTAAGAAATACTTCGGCTAAATCTCCACGAAAAAGATAAGCGTTACCAATTATAGGAAAAGGCAAAGGTCCTGGTAAAGGATTATTACGTGTGAAATAGGAGAAGTAATATTTAGCCGTGTAAAGCAGAGCGATGAATAGAAAGGCTGTTAACCAGTCTATTAATGTTAAAGAGGCAACACTAGCAATTGCATGATTTTTTAATGTTGAAGTGATTTTAGAAATTTCATGAATTTGGAAAATATTAAAAATTTCACGAATTTGGAGATTCATTTTTTTTTCTCTAACATTTGTTATGCTTCATTGGTAATGAAATTCTTGTTTTATATAAGCTACGTGTGTTTGTGCATCTTTTTTTTGTTAAATTATTTTCTTACAGATTTCAAATTTAGTATGTATTTTTTTGTTAAGTATAAAACAGTAATGGATTCTCTTTTTTAGGTGAAGTGACATAAGTATGTGTTATCACGCATGTACAAAATTGGTGAATGGTTTTCCAGTGTAATAGATAGTGTAACCGAATATTTATTGTCGGGAATGAAGCTAGGAATCGGATGATTCTGAGAATTTGAATTATTTTAATATAAAATTTTAAAAAAGTTTTTGAGCTATTTTTTTAGCTTTTTTTTTTAGTTAGGTTAGAATTTAGGGTTAGAGTTTATAATAAGAGTATGTGTGGATTTTAGTAGGGTTTATATTTTTAAATTGAGACCCAAAATTCTCTGCATCATCCGATTCCAAGCTTCATTCCCGACATTTATTGTTACGGTTGATTCTGAAAATTGAACCTATTTTGATATTAAATTTAAAAAATTTTTTGAGGTGTTTTTAACGCTTTTTTTTAGGGCTAGATTAGGATTTGGGTTAGAATTTATAATTAAAGTGTATATTTTAAAATCGAGGCCCCAATTTTCAGCATCAGCCATTTTCAGCATCAGCCGCGACATTTATTTTCTCGACTGACTAATAAGGTCAATAAAATTTAATGTTATCCGGATTTAGATTAGTATTGGTTATTGTAAGGTTAATGTTGGGTATCGGAGACAATTTCCGTGAATTCGTAAAAAATTGAATTAGTAGTTGACGATCCAATTGAACAGCTCAAATCTTCCAAATTTTTCACACAAGTAAAAAAATTAAATAAGTCGTGCTAACCATAAATAGCGTATTAGGGAAATAAAAGTGATAGCTCGGAATTTTGTTTATCCTTCAGTCTACTAAGACCTGCACCAATCAATAAGTGTACATTATCGTGCTATTTTTTTTACGTTTTTACGCAAGCACAACAATCCCGAATTAAAACTCGGTTAGCCAACCACGACTTGTAAATCATGATCATAATTGCACGATAAATCGATATTGGATCATGAGATGATAAATATCACAAAATTTGTTCTGTCGGAACAATGATTGGCTGTAACGTGCCACCGACAAAACAAATTTCATGATATTAATCGTTGCATGACCAATATCTTATACTCATCGCTCAAAGTTTGGAGAAAACATGGCCGCAGTCTATTTTGATGATCAGCTAAATTTTTTTTAAACTTTGAGCAATGATATCTTAACAACTACCTATCTAAAATTGATGAAATTTTTTATTTTAATTCTATGAAACCATAGAATTGAAATAAAAAAAAAAGTTTTAT